TGATCTGTCCATTTCAGTGAGGGGAGTGTTAAAGTCCCCTACTATTATTGTATTATTGTTGATGTGTTTCTTTGATTTTTGTTATTAATTGGTTTATATAGTTGGCTGCTCCCACGTTAGGGGCATAGATATTTACAATTGTTAGATCTTCTTGTTGGACAGATCCCTTGAGTATGATATAGTGTCCTTCCTCATCTCTTATTATAGTGTTTGGCTTAAAATCTAATTGATCTGATATAAGGATTGCCACTCCTGCTTTCTTCTGATGTCCATTAGCATGGTACATTCTTTTCCACCCCCTCACTTTAAATCTGAAGGTGTCTTCGGGTTTAAAATGAGTTTCTTGTAGGCAACATATAGATGGGTTTTGTTTTTTTATCCATTCTGATACCCTGTGTCTTTTGATTGGGGCATTTAGCCCATTAACATTCAGGGTAACTATTGAGAGATATGAATTTAGTGCCATTGTATTGCCTGTCAGGTGACTGTTACTGTATATTGTTTCTGTTCCTTTCTGATCTACTAGTTTTAGGGTCTCTCTTTGCTTAGACGACCCCTTTCAATATTTCCTGTAGAGCTGGTTTGGTGTTTGCAAATTCTTTCAGTTTTTGTTTGTCCTGGAAGCTTTTAATCTCTCCTTCTATTTTCAATGATAGCCTAGCTGGATATAGTATTCTTGGCTGCATGTTTTTCTCGTTTAGTACTCTGAATATATCATGCCAGCTCTTTCTGGCCTGCCAGGTCTCTGTGGATAAGTCTGCTGCCAATCTAATATTTTTACCATTGTATGTTACAGACTTCTTTTCCCGGGCTGCTTTCAGGATTTTCTCTTTGTCACTAAGACTTGTAAATTTGACTATTAGGTGACGGGGTGTGGATCTATTCTTATTGATTTTGAGTGGGGTTCTCTGAACCTCCTGGATTTTGATGCTTGTTCCCTTTGCCATATTGGGGAAATTCTCTCCAATAATTCTCTCCAATATACCTTCTGCTCCCCTCTCTCTTTCTTCTTCTTCTGTAATCCCAATTATTCTAATGTTGTTTCGTCTTATGGTGTCACTCATCTCTCGAATTCTGCCCTCGTGGTCCAGTAGCTGTTTGTCCCTCTTTTGCTCAGCTTCTTTATTCTCTGTCATTTGGTCTTCTGTATCGTTAATTCTTTCTTCTGCCTCATTTATCCTAGCAGTGAGAGCCTCCATTTTTTATTGCACCTCATTAATAGCTTTTTTGATTTCAACTTGATTAGATTTTAGTTCTTTTATTTCTCCAGAAAGGGCTTTTATATCTCCTGAGAGGGTTTCTCTAATATCTTCCATGCCTTTTTCGAGCCCGGCTAGAACCTTGAGAATCGTCATTCTGAACTCTAGATCTGACATATTACCAATGTCTGTATTGATTAGGTCCCTAGCCTTTGGTACTGCCTCTTGTTCTTTTTTTTGTGGTGAATTTTTCCGCCTTGTCATTTTGTCCAGGTAAGAGTATATGAAGGAACAAGTAAAATACTAAAAGGATGGCAACAACCCCAGGAAAATATGCTTTAGCCAAATCAGAAGAGATCCCAAATCGTGAGGGGGGGCGAAAGGGGATATAAAGAGGTTCGGAAAGAAAAAAAAAAAGAAAGAAAGAAAAAAGAAACAAATAAAAAAAGAAAACCAATAATGAAAAAATATAAAACGGAAAAAATATATATATATTAGATAAACTAGTTAAAAAATGTTAAGAAAGAAAAGGGTAAAAGTTAAAAAAATTTAGCAGAAGAAGAGAAAAAAAATTGAAAAAGAAAAAAAAAATTTAACTGCAAGGCTAAAGAATCATGGGGAGAAAGCCATGAGTTCCGTGCTTTGCTTTCTCCTCCTCTGGAATTCCGCTGCTCTCCTTGGTATTGAAACTACTCTCCTTGGTAGGTGAACTTGGTCCTGGATGGATTTCTTGTTGATCTTCTGGGGGAGGGGCCTGTTGTAGTGATTCTCAAGTGTCTTTGCCCCAGGCGGAGTTGCACTGCCCTTACCAGGGGCCGGGCTGAGTAATCCGCTCGGTTCACTTTCGCTCGGTTCACTTTCGGGAGCTTTTGTTTCCTGAGCGCTTTCCGTAGAGTTCCGGAGGACGGGAATGAAGATGGCGGCCTCCCAGTCTCTAGCCCGGAGGAGCCGAGAGTCTGGGGCCCCACTCCTCAGTGCGCCCTCAGAGAACCTCGCCCAATTGCTCCCGTCACCCTGGCCTCCGGCCGCGCTCCGAGCTGACCGAGCCTGCGACCGGTTCAAGGTAAACCCGAGCTTAGAGCTCACTCCTCAGCTCTGTCTCTGTAGCCGGCTTCCCTGTTCTAATACCTGCAAGCTCTGCGACACTCAGACACCCCCGATCCTTCTGTGACCCTGCGGGACCTGAGGCCACGCTGACCCCGTGTGGGCTTCACCCCAGTTAAGCCTCTGGAGCGATGTCCCTCAGCGGAACAGACTTTTAAAAGTCCTGATTTTGTGCTCGTTGCTCCGCCGCTTGCCGGGAGCGGGCCCCTCCCCCCGCCGTCTATCTTCCCGTCGCTTTGGATTCACTTCTCCGCCAGTCCTACCTTTCAGAAAGTGGTTGATTTTCTGTTTCTAGAATTGCTGTTCTTCTTCTCTTCGATCTCCCATTGGATTTGTAGGTGTTTGCAATCTTTAGATAAGCTATCTAGCTGATCTCCTGCTACCTTAAGTAGTCTCAGCCTGCTACTTCTCCGCCATCTTGACTCCTCCAGTTGTCCATTTTTAAGTGAACTGTTGATAATGGGATTTAATCCAAGTCTTTTGCCCAAAGAAGTTGCTGAGTACCAGGTCACAGTTGTTCAGGCTGTTTAGATACCTGATCTATAGTATGTGCCGGGCAAATATCTGGTCCATGATTTGGGGCTACCACCGAATCTTCTTGAACTTAGAAAAAAAGACACTGGGTGTCTTGTTTTTAGCAAGCCTATTCCCGGAAATGTTTTTCTTCCTTATTTATTTATTTGACAGAGAGAGATCACAAGTAGACAGAGAGGCAGGCAGAGCGAGAGAGAGAGGGAAGCAGGCTCCCTGTTGAGCAGAGAGCCGGATGCGGGACTCGATCCCAGGACCCTGAGATCATGACCTGAGCTGAAGGCAGCGGCTTAACCCACTGAGCCACCCAGGCGCCCAGACTTAGAAATTTCTGAGTGGAAAGATAGTAGACTATATCTACTGTTTTATTTGGGTGAAATGTTCACAGTCATCGATGTGTGTAAAGAGACATAGAAAGGTATCCAAGTAGGATATTAATCAAAATACATCATTTTTGCATGCCCTGGATGGGAAATTTATGTTGCTTTTATCTTTATTCTTTGTACAGTTGTGGGTTTATTTGACTTTTTAAAATTAGTATGCTATTGGAAGAGTAGCAGTAGCGTTGAAGACCAGGGCTTCAGAATCTGTCTTTGTGTTGTTTTTTCAAGTTTTGTTTAAATTCTAGTTAGTTAACATCTAATGTAATATTGGCTTCAGGAGGGAAATTTAGTGATTCATCACTTACATATAACACCCGGTGCTTGTTCCAACTGTTACTTACCACTTCAGGCAGTCATAATGTTAATTAATTGCCTCTGATTGTTTTTAATGAGTACTCCCAGGGAAAAGACACTGCACTGGGCAAGCTTTGAGTCAGGTAAAATAAGGACAGTTTTGCAAGTAGGGTCTTCCACAGAACCACCAAACAGGTCTAATAATGACAGTTCTTAGGGAATGGGGCTTTGAAGAAATTTAACCTCATTCTTTCCCATTGGCTGCCAGGCTACTGTTTTTCAGCATGATTATAGGCTCTCAGTTTTAAATATTCCTGGGAAGCTGGGATGATGATATGGGAATATGACAAGTTAAAATGCCACAAAGTTCACTATTACTGAGATTCAGCCATTTTTCTTGAAAAAACACTCTTTGGATTGCTGTAATCCTTTGATTTATATCCAGAGTTTTGGGAAAAGTTGATTCTGACAACTTTTGCCAGTGTTCTCATTGCTTTTATGGAGGAGAGGATTCTCAGGCATCCTTCCTCTGCCACTTTTGCTCACTTGATCAATAACTACTAGTTGAATAAATGAATAATGCCCAGTTCTTCCACCTGTGCAAATCTAAAACCTTTTGGATCATTATGCTTGTTATGGCCTGAATTCCAAGAAATGTGGTCTGACTATAAAGTGGTTTGCTCTCTGGAATTGATTATGGGAATTGTGTTTCCTTATCAAATTAAATTGAGGGATGCAGTGGTCTGAGGAGCACTTAAATTCAGCATTAGGACCAGGTATCAATCATTTAGGTTTTAAGAAAGACATTTGTGTAGGAAAAATTCTCTCTGTGTTCTTTCCAGTACTTTTGATACTTATGTTAGCATAAGAAAATGAAGTCTCTTTCTTTCTCTCTCTCTCTCTTTTTTTTTTTTTTTTTTGAAAATGAAGTTCCTGTGGAGGACTAGAAGTTCTTTCAGTAGTGGTTAAACCACTGCTCAATTCTTTGTAATATGATAAAAAATCTAAAGAGAAATTTTGTGATCTATTCCATTCTCCTGTTATACTATTTTTTCTAAATGACATTTTTAAGAAATTAATGATGCTTTCAAATTTTGGTTTAAGCTGCCCTGATATTATAGATTATACCACTGGTAAGAAAAAATTTCAGTTAAATGTTTTAACTAAGAGGTGAATATGCTATAATGAGAGAACCCATACCTTTTAGCACAATGCTCATAGATTTTAGCACAATGCTCAACATGTAAATAGCATTCAGTAAATACCAGCTATTATTGCTAATGTTATATCACTAGTGATAATAGCAAAAATTATACTTTTTACAAAGAATATCAGAATTGAGCAAATTCCTACCTGCAAGTAAAATTTTAGAAAACCCTATGCCTGTGTTATTTTCCACTGGTAGATTATTGACACAAAATTAGCTCCTCCAAGAAAAGCTGTTGGTTCTTATGGTAAAATAATTTCTTTTTTTATTGTATTTTTGCAGCATTCCAGAATGCCTTGAAGATTTTCTGTAGGATAAAAAGTGGTCGAGTTGCCACTGATGAGCTGGCTGCTGTTTTGGATAGCATGGATATCCCTGTAATCCCTGAAACTTTTCAGGAAGTGATAAAACATGCTAGTATAGACAGTGAGTTGTTTGAATTAATATGTATATATGTCTTTCTTGGATATCAATTTTCGGATTTACCCTTTATTTCTCCTTTTTCTTCTTGATTCTTGCCTTTTTGCCATCATCACTGCTTACTGATATCTTACGGTAAGAGATAGCCTAGGACAATTAAATGAGAAATTTCTAAAATTGTATTTTGATATGTTTGCTAAAAATCTAAGAGAAAAATGGATTTATTTTCTTTTCAAATTTAACTCTCTTTTCCAGTAGTTATTTCTTGTCTGTGTAGAGATAGTTTCTGTAGTGTGAAGGGCATTGGTTTCACAAGTTAGGAGACCTAAATTTCTTGAATTTAAAATTTTTTTAGATAGCTTTGATTACATAATCTTCCTTATTCAGTTACTCTGCAAAATGTAGATATCTTTTAAACTTTACAAACATATTTAGCAGATGTTTTGTATTACATGTTTACATGTCATGAGGGGGTGGCTGATAATAGTGGGCTGATAAATTATTGATTCTTTGATTATCCATTCGTTTAGTCATTTAATATCTACTGTGCTTGGAACTGTGCTAGGTGATACACAGATGAATAGAACACACATCTTATTCCAAAGGACCTCATGTTCTAGTGTGGAAAGAGTCAAGTAAAATGAGAATTATAATGTTGTATAGCAAATACTATTATAGACTGTAGATAAGCTGCAAATGTATCCTGGAAGCACCAGGGAAAGATTATCAGAGGATGTTATATCTGATCTAAATCTTGAAGGATCAGTAGGGGTTAATTGGTTGAAGGTGGTAATGAAGAATGAGAAAGATATTTTAGACTGAGGGAATAGTTTGTATAAATATGGCAGAAAAATAATCAGATATGACATCCTTTCAATGGACTTCCACTGGTTTTTGTCATTTGTTAATGGTAGCTTTATAGGGGGCCCTTGGTTGCTGAAATGTGTTGTGAAGATAGACCAGGCTGCATGGATTTCTTTTTCTTTCCTTTCCTTTCCTTTCTTTTCCTTTCCTTTCCTTTTCTATCTTTCTTCCTTTCTTTCTCTCTCTTTTTTTTTTTTTTTTGAGAGGGAGAAGAATCAGAGGGGCAGACAGAGAATCTTAAGCAGACTCCACACCCAGCACAGAGCCTGACGTGGGGCTCAATCTCACAACCCTGAAATCATGACCTGAGTCAAAATCAACAGTTGGTCGTTTAACTGAGTCACCCAGGCACCCCAGGCTACATGGATTTTACTAGGTAGTCATTTATGGTGGGTTCTGGGTTGGTAGACATAAGTGGAGGGACGTTCTGAGGAATGAAAATATCCATAAAATATGGATTTTAAAGATTAATCTCAAGCCATATTATTAAATAGTCTTTAGGGCACAAGTCCACCCATATCTGGTCTTTCCCCTTTTGCATTACAGTCAGAATAATCTTCTTTTTAAAAAATACACATCTCATCATGTTACCTCCCCACACAAAATCTAAAAATACTTCTTGGAATGAAGAACCCTTTAATGTTGTGATCGAGGGTTTGCAATATCTGGCCTTTACCGTAGGTCTCCAGCTTTGTTGCAGACCACATTCTGCTTTGCTTACTGTGTCTTCACAGAGTTTCGGTTGTATGCCATGCCTCCTCCTGCCATAGCCTTTGCATGTGTTCGTTTCTTTCCCTGGAACATTCTGCTCCTCCTAGTTAATTCCTACTTCTACTTTAGATTTAAACTCAACTCTATAGGGATGTTTCCATGACTTCTCTATCGAGCTCAGATTCTCATATCACTCTCAGAGCCCTAACCACAATTGCAATTTTTATTTCTTATTGTTTTATTAAGATCTGTATCTCAAATAAGAGCACTAGGAAAGCAGATATCATGTCTACTTTTTTCTCACTGTTGTATCCTCAGTACCTATTATTACAGTGCTTATGTTACATATTAACTGCTCAACAAATATATGTTGAATGAGTTAATAAGTCTCACCCTTTACTCCATCTCCTCTAACCAGAGAGAACAAGATTTCTTCACTATGTCATTTTGATAAGCTGGTTGTGACCTAAGATAAAATTCCTCACAGGGAAGGTCCTTGTCTTTTCACTAGGAAAATCGTTTTAATAGGTTTGTTTGATTATGGAAGTTAAAGCCTATTGGGAGACACCTAGTTTGAGCCAAAAGGTAAAGTAAAGTACTCTATGTAAGTAAACAACAGGAATTTAGATTACCATAGTGGCTAATTGGCAGCTGGAGGAAGAAGATTGAGGGCAGCTAAGAGTGGATTGGGGGTCCTGCAATCAGTAGAGAGTAATTATAGACCTTGGGACAATAGTTTGATGTTGCTTGTTGTACTATAAAGAACTCCCATACTTCCATTAATTGCAAGTTATCTAGTAAAAGGTGGTTATGTACAATAGCCTTGTGTTAGTAGTGTTGGTGGGGATTCAAAGGAGAAAGATCTATAGGTTCTGTGTTAGGTAGGCTTGGGGTGGAGAGATTTATAGCACCTATAGAATATGATGATGTAAGTGAGATCGAGAGTCCAGGGGAGTAGAAGAAATACAAATCAACTGCAAGAGTATAAAACACTCAGGAATCCTCAAATTTTGGAGAGAGTACTGATTTATGTTCATATCGTGTATGGTCTGGGGTCTGAACTATTTAATTTAAATATTAAAGAAAAGAATGCCAAAGACCCCAGAATGCCAGAATTCTTGGATTACCTAGGTAGGAGATATGCATTCTTCTGTAACAGAATTTTGAAGTAAGGAGTGATAGAAGTAGTAGAAGGCATAACACCCTGTTTTAGGTACTGTTTTAACTTCTTGTTTTTGTATTTGCTTTGGTTTTTTTGAGTAATAATGATATGTGGAGAATATGTTCATCTTTATGAGTATCCACAATGAGAGGAAAGAATTACGCCATTGAAATTTGCAAGGAAGTCCAACAAGCATTTGCTTCATTACGATATGGCAAGAGAAATATGGGAAATAACTTGGTGAGAGTTCTGGGAGTGTCAGGTAGTTTTGTTTTTGAAATAGGATATTTTGGTGCAGTAGTTTTATGGTGATTAGTAATCTGATAATTTAACTGGGTGAAAAGTAGTGACTAGTGTATTTTTTTGATAGACAAGGTTTTTAATATTGTGGAGCTGTTGTGAAGATTGTGGAAATACAGTATTAATAGTCACTTAATACCTTCAAACTAATGTTGCCCTGAATATGACCTTGATGATTAGGATATTTTTTTTTCCACACTAGATATTTATATTTTCTAGGTTGAATTTCCTCCTGAAGTATGTATATGAGAATGGGAGGCTTTTGAACTTACCTTATGAAATAAATTGTGCCTATAACTATACTGATTGCCTCAGTCTCAACTAGGAATTATTCATTAAGGTTCTGATAAGCCAGATAGGAGCCAAAATAGTAATTTCAGATTCTGTAATGCTTCTTTGGCCACCAGGGACTATTTAAATAGATAATATTTGTTTGGGAGGTTTGTGATAGATCTATTTTTGTATAGAAGCAAGAAATAAATTTTGAGCAAGAGCTAGTGAATCTATAGTTAGCTACTGCATTCTCACTGGTTGATACTGAACCTCTTTCCAGAGAAGGGAGTTTTTTAAGTGGAGAGTGGATATAGACAATATGTCCTTCTCCATTGGATTAATTTATATATAGTCCAACAGAATACTTTTCACTCATCAAATTCAAGAGTTTGAGGGCTGAAGCCTTGAATTATTTTAGGACTTAAGCTATGATCTAAGAACTTAGGACATGGACTCAATCTACAGTAAGTGCCAGGAATTCCCTGGGGAGACTAAGGGGGGTGTTAGTACCAAAATCAAGAAGAGAATGAGATTAAATACCAAGGAAATAAAAAAACAGAATGTAAGAAACAGTTCCTAATCAGAAGACAACTTAGCATCAATTGGTCTAGCAATTCTTCGATTGGGTCAAATACTTACCTTGCTTTGTAGTAATTTAAAGGCCTGCACCTGATGCAGCTTACCAATTTTCAAAAAATCAGAATGAATCAAACCTACCCAACACCAAAACTATATTGCATATAATTCTTCTTTGACTCAGAGGCACATTAAAAGCCTGCCTTTTTTTCAGGGTCTTTGCTTATGCATGTAATTGAGCAGTTGATTTCTTATGCATAGATGGAAGAATAAACCTAGTGTTTTTATAGGTAGGGAAGTCAGCTCCTGGTCTTTTTCACCTTGGATGTCAAGGAAAGTCAAACATTTGGAGGCAAGAACTATTGGGAAAAGCATTTTCTACCTTTGTGCGCAATTGGAATGACATATTTAAGGTCACTGCCTCTGAACCCATTCTCTGTCATACACTGTCTAAGAAGGAAAATGGTCTTAGACAAAGGCAAGGGCAGGAATGATAGGAAACTATACTTATGAGTGCCGGACACATAGAAGATGCTAAATCAATGGTTTTCTGCTATCCACAATGTGGACATTGCATTATTCTTTACAGCCTTCAGTTTATTTTATTCATTCAAAAATAATTTTTAAGGGCACCTAGGTGGCTCGGTTGGTTAAGCATCTGCCTTTGGCTCAGGTCATGATCTCAGGTTCATAGGATCGAGTCCTGCATTGGGCTCCCTGCTCTGCGGGGAGCCTGTTTCTCCCTCTGCCTCTGCCACTCTCTCTCTGTCTGCCTCTTTGTCTCTCATGAATAAATAAATAAAGTCTTAAAAAATAATTTTTAAGTGTTGGGAAGTAGATATTTTGCCAGGCATTGGGGAAACAAATGACACCTTCTCTGCTCTTGAAGAGCTCATGATCTAGTGAGGAAGACAAGAGTTAAAACTTGAAATTCTACCTATGGTACTCAGAAAAAGTGTTTTATTAAAATATTATCCTCATTACCTAGCTTTCAGGCTTAAAAGGTAACTAATTTCTTTTGACAGGAAACTCTTATTAAGGAGAAAAGAAAATAATGGTCTTCGTCTTACATTTCAATGTGTACTGAATTATTAATTCACAATTCCAGTTATTATTCAAAACCTATAATAGCTGGCCCTCCACTCTGTATTCTACACATCTCTGTGTTATTTTCATATTAGAATAGGATGGAAGTAATATTTATGTTAAAAAAAAAGAAAGACAATGTTTGAACTTATTCTTTCTATTACAGGTAACCACAGGGTGGATATTAGAGATATTATATTTACTTTGGATGAACTACAGCACCAGTATGAGGGTTTTTGTAAGTGAGCTCTTATTGCTATGATAAGCTTTGTTTATAAATAACTTGTCTTTAAATTAAACCCTCATTGATAGGTTTTATCATATGAATTTTAAAGCCTTCTCTGAAACCATTGCTCTCTTAAATTAGGGAGATAAAGTTTAATATCCTAAATATACCTAATTAAAATCGGTTACATAACTATCTCTTAATTTTCTACTTTTATCTTTCCCTTAGTATTTTTTAACACAAAGTAAACTTTAAAACAAAATAGTAACACTGAAAAAAGATATTTAATTTGCAAATCTTGGGTCATTTGAACATCCTGATACTGACAGTTAAACATTTTTAGTATATTCTTCACTATCATTCATGATTTAGTTCAGTTTTTCTTCATTAAGTACTTTTAAAAATCTCTTCCTATTGCACATCTTGTCATTCCTTATTCTTTCTCTAATTTGTCCAAATATCTTTTGACCAAGATTATCTATGTATATAATTTTAAGGATTATACAGTTATAATAAGCTTACTGCAAATAAAAGTCTCTGATCTGTTCCTTTCCTCAGCTTCTTCAGAGGCAAACATTTAAAATATTTTAGATGATTACTTGACATTTGTCTTCATGACAATAAAAAACATGTTGTAATTTTATTTGTTGATTTTTAAAATTTGGGGTAGATGTAGTAAACTTCCTAATTATGAAAAATAAGGATTTAGCTGTTTTATCTTCCTTGTCTCCACCATATCCACTTACTCTTCCCATACCTATCCATACTCCCAATATAGTTACATGGTAATTTGATTAAATTTTAATTCAGAATTTATGCTAGTAGGTTTATGGGAACACTGTTCATAGCTGAGCTATTTAGTATCTTATGGTTACTTTTATTTTCCTCAGAAAATTTTTCCCTCTTTGAATTAATAATTGTCTTTTTTATTTGCTTGATCTTAAATATATTTATTTATTTATTCATTTATTTAATTTAAAAGGAAGATGCGGGGAAGGGCAAAGGAAGAGAGAGAGAATCCTAAGCAGCCTACATACCCAGCTTGGAGCCCAATGTGGGGCTCAGTCTCATGACCCTGAGATCATGACCTGAGGTGAAATCAAGAGTCCAACAAATGCTTAATTGACTGACTCACCCAGGCACCCCTATATGCTTGATTATTTTTATTAACATATAATGTATTATTTGCCCCAGGGGTACAGGTCTGTGAATGATCAGTCCTACACATTTCACAGCACTGACCATAGCACACACCCTCCCCAATGTCCATAATCCAGCCACCCTATCCCTACCCCCCACCCCCCAGCAACCCTCAGTTTGTTTTGTAAAATTAAGAATCTCTTATGGTTTAAAAAAAAAAAGTCTCTTATGGTTTGTCTCTCTCCCTATTCCATCTTGTTTCATTTTCTCCCTTGCTACCCCCCATAACCCCTGCCCTGCCTCTCAAATTCCTCATATTAGAGAGATCATATGATAATTGTCTTTCTCTGATTGGCTTATTTCACTAAGCGTAATACCCTCTAGTTCCATCCATGTTATTGTAGATGGCAAGATTTCATTTCCTTTGATGGCTGCATAGTATCCCATTGTATATATATACACCACATCTTCTTTATTCATTCATCTGTTGATGGACATCTAGGTTCTTTCCATAGTTTGGCTATTGTGGACATTGCTGCTATAAACACTTGGGTGCATATGCCCCTTCAGATCACTACATTTCTATCTTTAGGGTAAATACCTAGTAATGAGATTGCTGGGTCGTAGGGTACCTCTATTTTCAACTTTTTGAGGAACCTCCATGCTATTTTCCAGAGTGGCTGCACCAGCTTGCATTCCCACCAATAGTGTAGGAGGGTTCCCCTTCCTCCGCATCCTTGCCAATATCTGTCATTTCCTGACTTGTTAATTTTAGCCATTCTGACTGGTGTGAAGTGGTATCTCACTGTGGTTTTGATTCGTATTTCCCTGATGCCAAGTGACGTGGAGCACTTTTTCATGTATCTGTTGGCCATCTGGATGTCTTCTTTGCAGAAATGTCTGTTCATGTCCTCTGCCCATTTCTTGATTAGATTATTTGTTCTTTGGGTGTTGAGTTTGATAAGTTCTTTATAGATTTTGGGTACTAGCCCTTTATCTGATATGTCATTTGCAAATATCTTCTTCCATTCTGTCAGCTGTCTTTTGGTTTTGTTGACTGTTTCCTTTGCTGTGCAAAGGTTTTTCATCATGATGAAGTCCCAGTAGTTCATTTTTACCCTTGCTTCCCTTGCCTTTGGCAGTGTTTCTAGGAAGAAGTTGCTGTTGCTGAGGTCGAAGAGGTTGCTGCCTGTGTTCTCCTCAAGGATTTTGATGGATTCCTGTCTCACATTGAGGTCTTTCATCCATTTTGAGTCTATTTTTGTGTGTGGTGTAAGGAAATGGCCCAGTTTCATTCTTCTACATGTGGCTGTCCAATTTTCCCAACACCATTTGTTGAAGAGACTGTTTTTTTTTTTTTCCCCCGTTGGACATTCTTTCCTGCTTTGTCAAAGATTAGTTGACCATAGAGTTGAGGGTCCATGTCTGGGCTCTCTGTTCTGTCCATTGATCTATGTGTCTGTTTTTGTGCCAGTATCATACATCTTAATGATTACAGCTTTGTAATAGAGCTTGAAGTCCAGAATTGTGATGCCACCTGCTTTGTTTTTCTTTTTCAACCTTCCTCTGGCTATTCCTGGTCTTTCTGACTCCATGTAAATTTTAGGATTATTTGTTCCATTTCTTTGAAGAAAATTGATGGTATTTTGATAGGAATTGCATTAAATGTGTAGATTGCTTTAGGTTGCATAGACATTTTCACAATATTTGTTCTTGCAATCCATGAGCATGGAACATTTTTCCATTTCTTTGTGTCTTCCTCAATTTCTTTCATGAGTACTTTATAGTTTTCTAAGTACAGATTCGTTGCCTCTTTGGTTAGGTTTATTCCTAGGTATCTTATGGTTTTGGGTGCAATTGTAAATGGGATTGACTCCTTAATTTCTCTTTCTTCTGTCTTGCTGTTGTATGGAGATGCAGCTGATTTCTGTGCACTGATTTTATATCCTGACACTTTACTAAATTCCTGTACAAGTTCTAGCAGTTTTGGAATGGAGTCTTTTGTGTTTTCCACATTAAATATCATATCATCTGCAAAGAGTGAGAGTTTTACTTCTTTGCCAATTTGGATGCATTTAATTTCTTTTTGTTATCTGATTGCTGAGGCTAGGACTTCTGGTACTATGTTAGATAGCAGTGGTGATAGTGGACATCCCTGCCGTGTTCTTGACCTTAGGAGAAAAGCTCTCATTTTTTTCCCCATTGAAAATGATATTCACTGTGGGTTTTTCATAGATGGCTTTGATGATATTGAGGCATGTACCCTCTATCCCTACACTTTGAAGAATTTTGATCAAGAAAGGATGCTGTACTTTGTCAAATGCCTTTTCAGCATCTATGGAGAGTATCATATGGTTCTTGTTCTTTCTTTTATTAATGTATCGTATCACATTGATTGATTTCCAGATGTTGAACCAAGCTTGCAGCCCAGGAATAAATCCCACTTCGTTATTGTGAATAATCCTTTTAATGTAGTGTTGGAATCTATTGGCTAGTATTTTGGTGAGAATTTTTGCATCCGTATTAATCAAGTATATTGGTCTGTAATTCTTTTTGATGGGGTCTTTGTCTCGTTTTGGGATCAAGGCAATGCTGGACTAAAAAATGAGTTTGTTACATTTCCTTCCATTTCATTTTTTGGAGTAGTTTCAAGAGAATAGGTATCAATTCTTTAAATGTTTGGTAGAAGTCCCCTGGGAAGCCGTCTGGCCCTGGGTTCTTGTTTGCTGGGAGATTTTTGCTGACTGCTTCAATCTCCTTACTGGTTATGGCTCTGTTCAGGTTTTCTATTTCTTCCTGGTTCAGTTTTGGTAGTTTCTCTGTCTCTAGGAATGCATCCATTTCTTCCAGATTGTCAAATTTGTTGGGGGTAGAGTTGCTCATAATATGTTCTTATAATTGTATTTCTTTGGTGTTGGTTGTGATCTCTCCTCTTTCATGCATGATTTTATTTATTTGGGTCCTTTCTCTTCTTTTTGATAAGTCTAGCCAGGAGTTTATCAATCTTATTAATTCTTTCAAAGAATCAGCTCCCAGTTTCGTTGATTTGTTACTGTTTTTTTGGTTTTGATTTCATTGATTTCTGCTCTGATCTTTATGATTTCTCTTCCCCTGCTGGGTTTAGGCCTTTCTTTGCTGTTCTTTCTCCAGCTACTTTAGGTATAGGGTTAGGTTGTGTACTTGAGACCTTTGTTGTTTCTTTAGAAAGGCTTGTATTGCTATATACTTTCCTCTCAGGACAGCCTTTGCTGTTTCCCAAAGATTTTGAACAGTTGTGTTCTCATTTTCATTTGTTTCCATGAATTTTTAAAAAATTCTCCTTTAATTTCCAGTTGACCCATTCACTCTTTAGTAGGATGCTCTTTAGCCTCTATGTATTTGAGTTCTTTCTAAGTTTCTTCTTGTGATTGAGTTCTAGTTTCAGAGTATTGTGATCTGAAAATATGCAGGGAAATACCCCAATCTTTTGATAACAGTTGAGACCTGATTTGTGATCCAGGATGTGATCTGGAGAATGTTTCATGTTCACTAGAGAAGAATGTGTATTCTGTTGCTTTGGGATGGAATGTTCTGAATATATCTGTGATGTCCATCTGGTCCAGTGTGTCATTTAAGGCCTTTAGTTCCTTGTTGATCATTTGCTTAGATGATCTGTCCATTTTGGTGAGGCGGGTGTTAAAGTCCCCTACTATTATTGTATTATTGTCAGTGTGTTTCTTTGATTTTGTTATTAATGGTTTATATCATTGTCTGTTCCCATGTTAGGGATATAGATATTTAAAATTGTTAGATCTTCTTGTTGGACAGACACTTTAAGTATGACATAGTGTATTTCCTCATCTCTTATTATAGTCTTTGGCTTAAAATCTAAT